GAAGCCCCGCCCACATGCCAATCTGTGTGCCGTGAGCATCCAATGAAACGTAAGTTGGCTCAAAATGAAGGAGTAAAGAGCTTAAACATCTTGTTTCAGACAGTGGTTGAACTGAGCGGTTGCAAAAGACCCAGTTTTAGATAAATAAGGGTTACTTTGAACAGTGAATCAAATATGGAATGGGAAATGAGAAATGAGTCCCTCTCAACTTCAAACCAAAGACTATAACATAGTGGAACATATTCATAAGTGCCTAACAGAGAAAACACAGAGCATTATGTCATCCTGTGGTTCTTATGCAACACCAAACAGTGGAAGCAGCAGATGGACGCCATCGACTCTAAATTATGACCAGTTGTTAGGGGAAAACTGCAGATTTATATTGTTTGGGAATAACCATATGGGAACCCCCTCTTGCTGAGTAATTGAATTGTGTTTGCATTTGCTGTGGAATGCCGTGGGTCACATTATTAAAATATATGCTCAGCCCCTACCGTTCAGAGGACTTATCACTTCATCAAAACTTCCGATTCAGACCTACCCCTCTGGCACACTCTCGTTATACGGTCTCTTTCATTGTAGCAGTGGTTTTGCTTCAGAAGCTGCTTTTTTCTTCTACTTGTTCTTCTTCTTCTTTTTTCCCGTCAGAGAAACCTCAGCTCAGATTGTCTCTGCCAGATGCTTCCTTACTCTAAATCATCTTTTGAAGTTCTAACCATGGATATAAAATGGCCCGTAAAAACACTTTTGTGGCTGCCAGTTATTGTATGTCCAAATATAACGAAATGGTTTGAACTCACAAAAAGTGACCAACCAGCTGTCGGCTTTAGATCCTCAACCTCTTGCTAACAACAACCCATTGAAGTCCCTTTTCCACTTGTTCTTTCATGACTTCTCACACATGACTCACAGATTTGCATATCAGCCCCCTCTTAGTCACCGGCAGTGTGCGATTATGCACCTTCTGATACATTCTGTTTGTACATTAATATAAGCAGCAGATGTGGGTTGAACAGATGCAGGAACCCCAAAGCGTATCGTCCTTTGAGCGTACAAAAAGCACATCTACACATTCAGCAAAATTGTTCTAAATGATATAACCAGCCATTCATCTTTTGTGTGAAGCTGATGCATAACTGTTCAGTTTATATGGATTACACCACTAACAGAGTCTGATATACACCTCGAGATGACAAATGTTTTGTCTTTTGTATTTTGCAACCTTAAAAATGTAATTTTTCATTAAAATTCATGTCAAGCTTTTTATGGATTTATCCCTAAAACGACTCACTTCTTTTAATCTTGCAAATGTTTAAGATCCAGCTTCATTCCATTCCCCATTTTTGTGGCTTTAGATATCCTTGCTATTGCTCTGATTCATGCTGATCAGTTTGGGGTCCCTGCATTCTAGGATTTTACTGACTTAACTGTACACTCCTGTAGTGTAAGGGAGATTCATGAGCAACTCTATAAAACCACATCTGGATATCCACTATGTTTTTATAGTCAAGTTGGTTGGAATCCTCTGGGCTGACATTAACTAGATTTAATTTCTTTTTAGCCAAAAAACAGTATTGCATTTTAAAAAAATGTAGCAGGAAGGGAAATGAATACTTGGATATGATCTGGATCACATATACCCATCTCGGCCATGTGATCAGCAATATATCACCATGTGACCAGCTTTTGACCTACGGTCCTGGTTTGTTTTAATCACTGGCCCGCTCGTGGATCGCCTCTCCCAACAACGAGCCAATTAGTTCAACCAAAGAACAGTCGGAGCGCTGTCAGATCACGTCTGTGTCTTCTCTGTGTGCCCCTGGAAATGGATCATTCATCCATTTGCCCTCTTGAACAAGCAGCTTTGGGGGTAGCATGCTGGGCTGCTGCTGCAGCAAATATTGACCGGTGCAGATTGCGTCGCGATGGTGTGTCGATGTGTCTGTACACCAACAGTCGTATAGCTGTGTGACCTCGATCTTCCCACGCTGTGACTCCTGCAAAGCAATACAGCAACACAGATGTGAGCTTCAATAGCAAGTACTGGCTGCAGTTACATGCACACATAAATTGAAATTACTTAAAAGTGGAAAGGATTTTAACACTGATGTATTTTTGTATTCACCAGTGCATTTGATTTTCATCTACCTATTAAATAGTACAGTTTAAGAATGAAATCCTCTCTTTTAGCATACTCTGAAGTCAATCTGTTGCTGATTAATGCTGCCATTTTACTTCTTTTGCTTAACATTTATTTGATGATTATAAAGTCCAACTTCCATCATGCCATTTAAATTTTTTTTTAATGCTGTGACATATCGTCTGTAACATCCTTCAAAAAGAAACGGAGAAGGACGAGGAGTTTTAACATTTACCAAATCCTGCATTTTGTGCACTTTTTCCTATTTCTTTTGTGCTTTGGCTTTTAAATCCACCAGAGGAGTGAGACAGGCTGACATTATAAAAGATGGAGTAAGTTTCAAATAAAACTTGAGACATTTGCTGGTTTTCATTCTAGGCAGAGCGTTCTGTCGAGACGCAGCGAGGCTATTTTTGTTCTTTAAACATTTACTGGAGAAAATGATTACCTTCATGAACATATTTCCAGCGTAAGATTCATTGCTTCTATTTCCCTTAATCATATTGGGTGCTTGTTTTTCCACATTCTGAGAGATTGCTGCTGCTTTCATTGTCGGTGTTCATTTGTGTAAATGGGAAAATGCTCTGTTTAAAAAATGCTGCTTTGTCAGATTTAATGCCAGGTCTGAAGTAAGGAGAAACAACAGTGATGACCCTTTACTGATCTGCGAAAGGTTTTCACTGCATAGTCATTCAATATGTGGTGCAATTAAAATGCCAAGCAACAAATTATACCGGCACCGCAGCTCCAGAATAGTTATAGGGCTCATAATTCATTTGATACCAAATCTTACCACCCTGAATTTAAGACTAATTTGAGCAGTGCGGTTGTTTCCACTGTGAAGGATAGCCGGAGCTCTGTATGCTTTGTGGTATCTATAATAAGCTTTTAGGGTGAGAGGATTTTCAGCTGGAGGCCCTGTCAGCAATAATCAGATTCATATTTATTTCCCAAAGCTTCATATGAAACCACCTTCAGAGAGAAGTCTTACAGCATACTATACTGATAATAGAGATGACATCATCTGGTGGGGATTTTGGAAATCCTGACACATCTGCCCACATCTGTGCACATTCTGACCACTTTGGGTTGTGTTTGCTGTATTGTGTGCAACAAGAAGCTGAATTTAATGAACCTGTCACTGCTGAAAGCACTTTGTGCAGTTTGAGCTGTAATTACTTTTTAGTTTATTTTCAAGCATTCTGCACTGAGCACCCGTTCATGCATCGTGGTATTTCTTTTACGATGGTATTAAAAAAAAATTACATTTTTATTTGGGGTGCTTTGATGCCCAATTATGATAGCCGCTGAACCGAAGGGAAACGTTGCTTAAGCGAGAGGTCCTCCGTAACTACAAATGATCCATGTTTATTAGCAGTACAGTGGTTGGAGATGCATTTATATTGCGGAGCTAAAATGTAGGATTCCCATTCATACGAGTGCATTCAGGGTTGCAGAGCCTTTGCTAGAATGTCTCTAGCGAAGAGCTCAATGTCATTGTGTGGGAGCTGGAGATCTATTGGTAATCAACAGCAAACACTGGAAGCTTTGGCAGCAGGCTCGGTCTGGGTGCTTTAGCTCACTGAACAGTTCAGCGGGAGAGAGTGGAGTTCTTGCAGGAGAGAAAGACATAAAATAAAAGGCTGTGAAAAGTGGGTAAATCTTGCAACAATGTTTCCGCTTTGTTGCAAGATTTACCCACTCGAGTCGAGATGGTGGCAACAATTCAGTTTACATGAACTAAATCATGATGGTGGCACTTAGTTCCACATTTTAACCAAACCAGTATCCTAGATCTCAATAGTTTTATCAGCTACGGTGTAGATGTGGGGACAATGGATGGAATCCCATTTTGTGTAGATGTTCATCGACCCCAGAAAACGACTCATTGAACCCTGATTTTTCTTTTCTTATTGTAACCATTAAGTCAATATTTGTTTATTGTTTATTTCTCATGAAGTTTTGCTTTATTTACGTTACATTTTCTACATATATTCATATTCCCCTCAGGATACTTGAAATCGCTTTGTTGATCTCGGTAAAAAGTCAAGGATGTAAAAATTGATGCTGTGATTCACATTTGATTCTGACTCTTGTTTCATTATTAATAGGTTTCAGAAGAAAGTAGGTTAAAAGAGAATTTTTACTGAATCAGTTCTGATTTCTTTTTATTTTTCATTTCATTGCATTTACAAATTCTTTCTCAAGCAAATACGGACAATGTTAAGATTATGCTGCCAAATTTCTATGGCCAAGTGCTCAGCTTGCACACGGATGTATTACAACTGTGCCCCCTTAAATATTATTTAAACGGATATTTAAATCAACATTTAATGTAATCTTCTGACTTTTTAGCAGTTTGAAGAAGTTTAAAGTTGTTTTCTTGGACGTTGGTCACTTCTGGAAAGCTATAGTCATTACATGACATTTACAACAAAGAGCTATGAATATATTTGATTAGTGTGCTGCTGGTGGATGAGAACGCTTTAATCATTTCTTGTAATCCTCTACTTTTTTGTCTTGCTCCTTTTTGTTCTATATTATTGCATTTGGGAAGTTTCTTTGCAGATCACAGCTATCTGAACAGCAATATGTGCTGCTCAAAGAGGTTTACTTTTGTCTGCGGACACCAGTCAGTCTGTCATTTATAGCAGTAGCTGCTGTGAAAATGTCAACCGTATTGTTTAGCAGTGTGGTTTATGTGTTTATAATTGCATCCGTGTCCTTAATTCGGACCTGATCAATATCTATCATTCTGTTTGCCTGGAGCTATACCAATTTAATTACGACTGGGTTTGGAGCTGCGATGCTTTGCTGTCAGCTGACTGACCCGTTTGTCTGCCCTCTGTTTATTTTGCAGATGATGAAGTTTGCCTGGGATAACTACAAGCGCTATGCTTGGGGCAAGAATGAGCTGCGGCCTTTGACGAGAAACGGGCATATTGGCAACATGTTTGGTGAGTATTTGCTGGAGACTCAGAAGGCCTGAAAGGTCACCTGGTTTTTTGGTATTTATTTATTTCTTTTTAAGACCCACTGACCTTTCTCTTGGAAGACTTTCATGTGAAAGACAGACTAAAACTAGGGGGGGAGGCAATTTTGTGATCAGTAGAAGCACCAGCCACAGAAACTAATTTAAAATCTATAGTTTTGTGTTTTGGTGGACAAAAGGAGGATAAGAAGGTTGCAAATGTCTTTATTAGAAACAGACCAGGGCCGACTGTTTCTCAGTTTGGAACGGATGGACAACTACACCAATCTTAAACTCTCACAAGCTAGTACTGATTTAGAATTTCAGAGCAAGTACTCTGCCTAAAATAACAGTTTGACTGAAAGTTGATTTTCGGCTTTTTAATTCCATGTTTTTTGCTGTGCTGGGGAGAAAAAAACACTTCATGAAAACACTTTTTTTTTCCACAGCAAAATTAATATGACCCAACAGATAAACAACACTGATATCCTGATAACAAGCCAATACCGGCCCATCATGATGTTCACACAGTATATTTGGAGATGGTTTTTGTCCCGTTGCTTGCTGATACCATTTTTTTTTCCAGTTCTGAATGTCTTTCTAACAACCAACTGACCGCGCACACAAACAAAAATCAAATTTTCTTCAATACAACATGTTATCTTGGCAATTAAAAAAAACAAAGAATTTCAACTACATAACTTCCCCCAGACTAAACTAAGTTACATAAATTTTCTCTCACTTTAACAACTAATATTAAAACATGCTCACATTGGTGAAGTTGGTTTAAGCTTTTGTTATAAATGTTTTGGCAAACTTTGTGTCTTCACTCACAACAAAGACTTTCCACGCTAACTACATGTTAGCACGTGGCCTACTGCTGTGTATGCGCTGCACATGTGCGAGGCTGATCAGCTGGTTACTGATTAGGGCAGAGAAAGCTGGAAATCAGCTGATTCCGGTTCCTCGCCTGTCAATTGTTGCATCTCTATATATTAGTGCAGCAGTCCCCAACAATTTTTGCACCACGGACAATATTTTCATAGACCGGCCTTTAAGGTGTCGCGGATAAATACAACAAATAAAACAAGTACCAGTACAAAAAAAAAGGAGATTTATTCATGACACACAGGAAAAGATAAAAAAAAAAATAGTGATAAACAACAATAAAAACCCAGAAAACCTTAAATTTCACACTCAAACATTGCGGTCCAGTACCTAACGACTCAGTGGGGGTTGGGAACCGCTATATTAGTGCATCAATATTCACAAGCCTTCAAATGTACTCAGGATGTCGTCAAGCACCTCATGATGTTAAATATGACAGACGTAAATAAGCCAAGAAGAGAAACATAAAGTCACAAGGTCGTTCGTAATTTTGGATTTTGATAATAAGGCAGCACACATGGATAATCTAGTTAAATGAGGAAAACCAAACAAAGTAGACTGGCCTTCAAGCTCTGCTTAAAACAGAACTGACATCCAACTCAAAGCACAGAAATAAGTGAAGCGCTATTAATCCTTTGCTTTTGACGTGGGCTATGTTGTTGTGGAACATATCTCCATAATATTTCCATAATTAGACATTTGACGTAACTGTCTATTAACTGATTCAGAGAAAAGCAGTAGTGCCTTAGACACACGGTGGTTAGTCTCATATTGTATCCTACTTTCAGACGGTAGGCACATTGTCTAATTTAATATCTATCTTGCATTTTGTGTCGAGCTTAGTAAGAGCTTGTTTTGCACCGTTTTGCTTCGTTGGCTTCTGATCAGCTCTTTCAATACTGAATAATAATTGAAGCCATGTAATGGGCAACAATTCTTATAGCTTATAGCTTTTTCACTTAATAATCTGTATTTGTAAATTCTGTTTGTAGAAGACAATTAGTTTGTTTAGAGGTCTTTATAATGCTCTTCTTCTTTTGCTTGTGCTTTGATGGGGCTGCTTTTGAGAAGCTGCCGGTAGCAGTAGTTTAACTCGAATTTCAAATGAGACAAAAGCAACTGGATTTCTACAGATATAAAAATATATTATACCTGCACACCTTCTGAAAACAAATCATAAGTAATGAATTTTTTAAAAATCCAGCTGTCATAAGAACGACAACACATCGCACTTATTTGCACCTCAGTGAGCTTTTGACACTATGTTTTCTTGAGCTTTCACTCAGCACAGGAAACCTCGCAACCTGCCAGGGGTGTCACAGTCTCCCAACAGCCTCTAATTGGAGCCAAATCCAGAGGGGTCCTGCAGTCCTCTGCAGTGGAGCATATCAGTCAGTTCGCACTTCTGTGCCTGAGGGAAATCCCACAATAAAGCTCTTAATAAAAGGTGGATCAGCTCTTATTAAGACTTGGGCTGGTACTGTCTTCCATACCTGAGGTCTTCCTCTTTCACTTCTGTAGGGATTCACAAGTATTAGAGAGGTTGTGGTTAAGAGGAGTCACTCTAAAGCAAAGGCCTTGAGCCACGTTTTAAAGCAACTAATCCAGGATAACTCTTGGATGAAAATGACCAAAAATAATTCAAACCCAGATTTTGCCATCATTTGTTTATTCAACCGGTTTGGTTAATGTTTGTAGTTAAAGCTAAGACATCAGAGAAAAGTTTTGTTCTCGACCTATTAGTTATAAAAGAATAAGGTTTTAAAAATCTGTTCATATGCCTGTTCAGTCATTCTCAATATCGTCATTTTGGTGGTGTTCCTGGAACAACATTGCAAGTGACCAATCACATTGTTGTGACGTTATTCTTTGGCGCGCCAAGCCATTC